TTACAGCTTCAGCTGCCTTGCCTGTCACCCTGGCGGGAACAAGAGCCCCTGTCTCCCTGACCTGCCAGTATCTGTAGACACTGCCTTGCATCAGCTCTTGGGGAAGGTCTCTACCCACAGGGAGTTCTCTTTGGGGCCTGTGCATGGCCCCTTGGTATGGCTCTCAGGGAGCCCATCTACCTGTTTTTTGGGAAGCAGGAACTCTGGATGGGGGCAAGATCTTTTAAAAGAAAACTGCCATTGTCTGTAATATTTACAGTACATTAGTTCTTCCTGTACTGTGCAGATGATCAGTACCAGTGCAATCGCTGGAGCACAGGGCAAACCCAGCACTTGTCGGTCTTTCAGCAGCTGATTGCTATAACTAGTCGTGTGGGCTCTCTGGCTTCTGTCTTCCCTGTGTACAGCAGTGGACAGCTGAGCAGGCCAGGGTGACATGGGAACACAAGCCTGGGAGTGCTCACCCAGCGTGCCCAACAGTTACAGGAAGCACAGTCCAAAAGAGGTGATCGTAGTTTGCAGTTGGACTGTTTCATCTTGGTCCTCCTGAACCCAGGAGCAGCCATTTAGGCCTCTGCCTTTGCAAAACTCTAGTTCAAATTCAGTAGCCTTAAGGCTCTTGTGTCAGAGATTTAAAAAAAAACAAAAACAAAAAAAACTCTGCCACAGACATAGTGTTTTGAAAAGTCAGAGAAAAAAAAAAAAAAACCTCAGCGTGTTGAAGGCATTTTCTTGAGAATAGCTGAAAGACTGTTGCAGCTGGAATGTTGGGTTGATGCCTGGAACCTGCTGGTTGTTCGTCAGAAGACGCAGCAAGCTTTGGTCCCATGGTTCCCTCCCGTGCCACACTCCTATGGAAGTGGCAGTGTGATTATGTGTTTAATACAAATACAAATGCGAATGGAAGCACTCTTATGATAGTTTTGACACTGGATATGGCACTTTCTCCCAGCTGGGGGTGGGGGCTGAGGCAAATGGGGTCAGCTTTTAGCATCCAGCCTCAGGGCTTTGGACCTGCTATTTGCATCTTCCTCTGCCTGCTAACGGCAAGGTGCGGCCAGTCCTGGAGGCAGGCTCTGGGCCTTCCAGCGCAATCCCAATAATGAAACTTTTTTTTTTAAGCTCAGATGGGCTCAGAAAAAGGGTTTTACCCTTTTGGTAGCCAGCAGCCCATGTTATTTCAGGTCAGGTACTTATGTGTTAGCCAGGAGCCCAGATGGTTTGCACAGCAGAACAGCAGTGCTGCTATCTGCAAACAGTTTCCTCAGGGCAGAAAGGGAGAGAAACTTTGCCCTCTGTGGATCGTTTCCCTCATAACTCAGGCCTGTGCCTGCTGCTCCAAAGGCCTCTGCACAGCTGGAGCAGCAGCATGTGCTTTTGCTCCAGCACCTTTCCAGACCTGGCTTCCAGGCTCCCCAGGCAGCTGAGTGCTGCCCTGAGATAGGGTTCCCATTTTCTGTCACCCCCCTTTGGGCTGCAGTCAGCTTGGAGGCTGGGGCGCTGCAGGCCTGTGATTCACATGAGCCAGTCCATGAGCAAAGGACCTGCAGGCAGCCCTACACAGCAGCTGGAGCCAGCTATGCTGGGCAGAGAGAAAAAAATGCTTCTGTGCAAAGGTGGGAGGTGAGCCCAGGCATTCACTCAGGCTGGCACCTTACCCTGAATGCTGCCAGGCTGCACCACACACCTGAGAGCAGCTCTGCCTTCTGACAGAGACAGTTATCATAGATGCAAGAGTGAGAGGAGGCAGCCTCAATTCCCCCCTGCATCAAGCTACCTCTCAGCTGCTGTAGCTAACCATGCCCAACTGCCCCTCTGCATCAGCAATCATTTTATATAGTCTTGATTCCACTTTGTACTGGGGTGTGGGGTTCTATTACACTGGTAACAGTCAGTTTGTACATGATTTATTCTGTATGTCCTAGAGCATTTTATACAAAACAGTAAAAAAAAATAAAATTAAATTAAAAACAAGTGATCTTATCCTGGCAGTCAGCAATGGTTGGAGAAAACCAAAGCCTTCACTTTGGAGAAAACCAAACACACTTGGAGAAACCAAACACACTTGGAGAAAACCAAAGCCATCCACTTCCTGTTTTTTGAACTACCTCAACCCAGCAACTTGCTTTATTTTCACCTTTTCAACATATTTGGTCACTGCAGGCCTGTTGATGTAATAGAGCTTCTCAAACAGGGGGAAGACAAAGGTAAAAGGAAGCACTCCTCTTCTCACTGTTAGCCTACAGTTACTGGTTAGAGCACATCTCCTACAGTACTTTGGGAGAACAGCAATAATTCCCTTCTTCCTCCAGCACAGGGGAAGAATGAGGTACAGGCTGTGGCTCATGACAAACACCTCCTAAACTTTAAAACTCCCACTTCTTAAGATTTCCTGCTGCTCCATGTTAGAGATGGAGCCAAGCAGCAAGGCCAGAGCTCAGCCATGCTCACCAAGGGCCAGTAGTAGGAGCAATGAAGCAGACAGCATAGGTCCCACAACAGCCTGTGGGAGTGAGAGCTCTTGCTTGGGCAGGAAGGGGCAGAGACATCAAGCTGCTGCCTCCCTCAGCTGCCTAGGTAAGTCCTTACAGCAGGCAAAAGAGAACCAAGACAGGTTGGACGCTGCAGCCAACAATCTTTAATCAAGTTATGCAATATACAAAAGTTTAGGTTTCACATAGATTAATTTCAGTATTAAAAGGCTGATTGCTCAGTCTCAACCTGGGCATGTTAAATATCTTAGGTGAATCACTACAAGAAGAAACAAAAGCCCAGAGCATAAGGCACAAACATGTACAAATAACTTACATGATAATTCTGCCCTCCCCACGCTCTGGTCTCTCATGAGAAGGCCCAGGAACCTCAGATAAGAGGTTTAGGTTTTTTGGGGGTTTTTTTGTTTGTTTGTTTTTTTGAGTCAGGCTTTTTGTTTTGGGAAGTTAGAAAAAAGACTAGATAATAAAAAATAGACTTTCTATTGGGAGTGGGAGCAAGAAACACCCTTGGGCACCAGAGTAAACACAGCACCATTCCCACAGCATCAGAGGCTCCCTCGTGGCAACTAGACCGTACTCAGGAGTGGGAGCCCAGCTGGGTGATGAGAGGTTACAGTGCAAGCAGGGATGCTACTAGACTCCCCTTATCCACAGCTGGAACAGTTTGGCACAGATGTCAAGTTCATCAAGACCAAGACCTAAGCAGAGGGTTTCAAGCGGGCTGAGCCAGACTTTGAGCTGAGGAGCTTCTCCACCATGGTGCGAGCATAGCGGAGCCGACTGGCCAGCTCCTTGCAGCATCCATGTTCCTCAATGAGGCTAAGCTTGTATGTGCGGAAGTCCCGTTTCTCATCTATGTATGTGACAGCAGCCATGAGAGGGCACAAGATGACTTTGGTGTGGTCCTACAGGGAGAGAACACAGGTCACCCTGAGCACACTGCAAGCACTGGATTTCCCTCAAGATGAGCCATCTCAGCAGTTGGGGTATCCCAGCAGCTCCCAGAAACATGCTAACAGAGCAACTCACCACAGCCAAGTCAGAGTAGGAAACCATTCCTTCATAGATTTGTTTCCCTTTGCTGCTATCTATCTGGCCAGCCAGCTCAAGAGCCACTGCACTTAGGACTGCGCAGCAGTCCTGCTCAAGGAAATAGCCCCTTAGCACACTAAGGTGTCTGGATGGCTTATGTACCAGCAAGCTGAGTAAGGAGCCTTCTAGTCTAGGTTCACCGGACAAAGTTTTGTCTCAGGTTACACCCTCCTGCTAAGGAGGTTGTTTGCATATAGCACCATTTGTAGCAGAGCTGTTAGGGCAGCTAGAACTGCAGCTTTGGGAAAAATGTGGAGTAGCATTCTCACCTGGAAGAAGTTGATCTGCACAGTGCCATTGCTGAGGTGCAGGATGATGGCACTGCGGGTCCGGAACCATGTGCAGAGGTAGGGTAAACGAGCCAGCTCATCTCCTTCCCGAGGCGTGATGTTAGCACCTGCCTTCAGCAGGTGCTCGCTCATATAATTCCGGAAGTATTTCAATAGTGTTATCTGCAGACAGGAAGGGCAGACAGGCTGGAGATGGCCCATGCTACATGGTGGGGGGCAGGGCCTGCTTTTCAGTCCCACAGCTGCCTGCTGTCTTTCAGGACTTGAAGGGTCACTGTAGGAACTTGTGCAAGTTCCCATACTCAGACAGCAAAGTTAACCTTGAGACTCGCTCTGCTTAGCACTCTGGTACATGCATACCATTTACCATGCATACCATGCTTTGGGTGCGTATTTCTTTGAAGCTCCTCATAAGTGAGCCTCAGCTAGCAACTGGAAACAGCAAGAGTTGCTAGTGTCTCTCCTTTGGGCCACGTTATACCAGCCAAGAGGAAGCCTGCAGGATGAAAGTGGCCCCAAGAGATGGATCTTCCCCCTGGAACCCACCCCAGAACTGACCTTCTTGTTCAAGGCAGAGGGATAGGATCTCACAGTGAAGTAGGACTCTGTGCTGTTTTGCTCAATGTACTGCAAGCTGTCCCCGTCATTGTACATAATGAGACGAGTGGAGTCATTGAAGAGAACTCCAACACTGTTGTCGCACAGCTGATAACCTAGTCCAAAAGGGAGTCTGTTAGACCTTCAAATACACAGGATTGCTGATTGCGCAAAACACAAGGTAGAATTGTGTCAGGTAAGGGATTGCTGACAGACACCCCACCAAATCTAGGGCTCCTCTGCTTTGCAGAGGTCTGGGTGGCACTTTTCCTCCTCCGGATTTATCACCCTCCCTTGTCACATCACCTGCCACAGAAGGAAGTTTTAGTAACTATAGTACTGGGTACCATTTGCTCACTGCAGAGTGAGGCCACATTCCCTTTAAGCATGTAGCTGTTTTCTGCCTGTAGTGGCATGAGCTGATGTTCAGTGACCACTGCTCTGGATTCACTGCATATTCAATAACGTTCTTGGTGGTTTTAGACACCTACATGTTTGACTGCCAGATTAAAGAATCTCACACATGCAATGCCTGAATCACAACTTCCCTCAGCTTCTTCAGAAACTGGAAAAGGCTGAAGTGCTGTCCCTTTATTACTTACCTAGACCATATTTATCTGAGTAGTCCACCCATTTGCTAACCCAGAAGATAGGAATGCAGGCTGGATCTTCAGCCTCTTCTGCCAAGAGAACAGTTTATTAGAAGACGTTTTAAGGCATCCTGCGCATGGCAGTAAGCAAGTAAGGCCAAAAGGCAGGCAAGTAGCTACTGCATCACTTCTCTGCCTTCCAGTTTGAAGCCAAGGAGATCAGTTGGCCCCTCACTTTGAACAGCAGTAGAATGACAAAAAAGCAAGTTACCTAGGAAGGCCAGTGCTTGTGGGTTTGTCCCCAGGCTCACCTTGTCTCACAGCCACTCTCTCAGATGGCTTGGCTGAGTTGACTGCAGTCAACTGCTGTAACATGTCCACTAAGTGACAGTCAACAGCATCTCCCAGCTCCCGCAGCCCAGCTACATCATCTTTTTCAGGCAAGCTCTCTAGTGCAGGGCTGTCTGGTCCTGGGCCAGGAAAGAGAAGAGTGTGGAGGCATTACCAGGAAGTAGGTTTCTAAAGGCACCAGATTTACATTCAACCCTAGCTGTAAGAAACATGTTACACACCATATAGCTAAAGCTAGTGCTGACACAGCCCAGACTCAAAGCAGGGAGGAGACCTCCCATTCACAGTGTACTCCAGCTTTTCATGAGAGTCATGAAGATGTGAGGCAGTATCACATTCCCCACCAAAGGTCTGGATATTGCCAGAGGCCAGGTAGGCTTTCAACCAGCACTGCAGCGCACAGCCCTCGACTCCCAGGTGCTTGCGCTCACCTTTGTTGAGTGCAGTCAATGGCTTTCGCCCATTCAGTTCAAGCCCACTGGGAGCAATTGAAAACCTAGGTGCGACGGTGAGACAACTGGTGGGCAAGCGGTTAGGGATGTATCCTGATGTGAAAAATTCATCATTCAGCAACTCATCGATAGTTGGGCGTGTGGCAGGGTCAGACCTCAGCATCTTCTGGATGAGGTTAGCAGCTACAGGGTTGATGTGCTAGGAGAAAACAGAGGCAGAGTTAGAAACAAGAAAAGTCAAGGAAAAGTGTGCAAAAGGAGCAACGTGCACAGGGTGTGCAACATGGGGACAGCTCTTCTCAAAGCAGAGCTCCTGTGCTGCAGCAGGCACACAGGACGCCAGCCTGGGGAAACAGAACAGCTCACCAGCACCTGTACAATCTCCTGGCAGAGTTCAGAGCTTTAAGTCAACTGACTAGCAAGACTGAACCAACAGTGGAATAGAGCAGGGGGACCTGGTCCAGACCTCATCTGTGGCTGGACTTGAGCAAGTTAGTTTACCCCATGGCCTTTTCCTCCATGTGCCAGCTGCCCAGCTCAGATTTTTGATATGTCAAGGAGGAGCTGCTGGCTCCTCAGTAGGAAGCTGACCCCACAGGTCTGTTCTACCACAGACTGAAATATCCCCTTCATAGCACTCAGCAAGGAGAGCTGTTTCACCATTCTGCAAGAGCTCATTAAGTGTCAGAAGCAGAATGCTGCAGAAGGCAACCAAAACCTGCTGCAAGGTTGAGTCCACCCACAGGAAGTGCCATACCTTGGGGATGGTATATTCATTCTTCTTAATTCGGATATAAGTTTCCTTTAGACAAGAGGTTTCAAAAGGTGGTTTCCCTACCAGCAGGGTATACCTGTGTGTTTAAGGACATAGAAGTGTGTCAGTTTTGTATGAGGCAGTCTGCAGGGGGACTACAACACCCCTGGTCCAGAAGCAGCCCCATCCTGAAGTGCCTCCTGTGACTTCCCAATGACTTCCTTGTTCCCTCTGCCAGGAAGAGCAGGTACAGCAGGCAGAAGTATTATTTCTAGCTCCTTCTCCCAGAGGGGGGGAGTTGGGATTTTGTACCCCTGGAGAAAGTTCTGGTTAGGAATAAGGGCTTTTGGGAAAAATACCTCAAGACAGCCCCCATGTGAGCATATTAGCCAAAGACACATGTGCAGAGCACTGGGCAGGTCACGTGCTGGCTAACAGCAGTGCTCAGCCAGGGTGGGTGCTCTGGAGACAGCATGCCCAAAGCTTCAGCTTATACCAAAACCGCCAGGAGACCTGGAGCACAGGACAGCCCAGTCATGGGGGGTGCTTTGACTCACATGATGCAGCCAATGGACCAGATGTCCACCTCAAAGCTGTGCCCCTTCTTGCCCAGCACCTCTGGGGCAATGTAGTTGGGGGTCCCACACAGGGTCTTCTTGCGCTCTCCATCATACTCCACTTTGGTGGCCAGGCCAAAGTCACCTTTGAGACATGAGGAAGATGAGCACATAAGCCAGAGGCCCCCACACTGTCAGGGACCCCCTGAGGTCGGGGTCCCTGCTGTGGCAGGGGACACTTGCGTCACAGGCACCTACCGATCTTCACCTCCATCTCATCGCTGAGGAAGAGGTTGCCCAGCTTGAGGTCGCGGTGGATGACGCGGTGGCTGTGGAGGTACTGGCAGCCCAGGATGGTCTGGCGCAGGTAGTAGCGCACCTCGGGCTCGCTCAGCGCCTTCCGCCGCTTGTGCAGCTCCAGCAGCGACTGCGGGAGGCCGTCAGTGTGCCGGACCCCGGGGTGCCC